CACAGAAATCAACGTCAAAAGCAACAGAATCAGCACAGAAATCAACGGAAACAATTCATGCAACAAATTCTACATAGTTATCAACGAAAACCACGTCGCAACGTAAGTTAATTCATTGCAAAGCCATTGAACGCACATGAAAAGATTTTGCTATTTTTTTTACAGCCAATTACCGCTATTCCACCCATTAAAGCTCCTACAGAATTATTGTCAATTACCAAAGGCATGAATGCCATAGACACTAAACAATCCACAGCAACTGCAGCATCGCCTAGTCTTATCGTTCCAGAAGCTTCAAAAATTATTGGAGATCCAAAACCTGCAGGTTTGTCGAAAACCTCCGAGCCGTTTGTAGCACCAGCAGATAAAAAATTGCCGGAATTATCGAAATTTGCCCAAGAACGAGTTGTTACAGAGACCACGACAGCTGCAGTGCCATCAAAAAAAATCGAAGAACCAAAACCTGCATCATTTATAGAAGCAAACAGAAGGACATACGCTGAAGAATTGTCAAAAACTCCAGAGGATACAAAGACCACAGCAACGTTGGGACAGGATTCATCAGATATCGTGTCTAAAGCCGCACCAAAGGGTAATTATCTCATTTTTTAGTGAATTTAATAGTAATTATTTTAAAATATTTAGTTTAATATATTTTTCGAAACGACAGCAATCCCAGCGATAGCAGCTGCCCATTAAAGGAAACCAGACGTATTAGTTACATTTTTGGAATGATTCTCTTGAATGGACCTTTTGACTTTCTTTTAGATTTCATTTTAATTTAATTTAGTCCTTTTCTTCAGCTAAAGTGGGTTATCGAAGGCTCTATTTATGAAAATAAATGTTCAATTCAAATCTACTTATTGTGAAACAATACTTGGTTAACCGAAATAAATATAATATGAACATTCAAGCTCTGTTCGTGGCTTTCGTTTGAATTTTAATCGTTTGGAGTTATTAATCAATAGGGAAAACACAACGAAGGCGTTTGTAATGAGGATAAATGAAACTTTTAAATAATCTATAAAATTTTCAAACAAAAATTGATACAAATTGGTTGATATTGGTTTAGATTCATTTATTCCAGTGGCAAAATCCGTTTGTTCAACAAGGTGAAAAAATCACGTCACGTTATTTAATTTATAAAACAACTGTTGATGCATAGGCTGAGTATGGAGCAGCAGCCACATATGGTGCCGAGTATGGAGCAGCAGCCACATATGGTGCTGAGTAAGCTGTGGCGTATGGGTAAGAATAAGCAGCAACGTATGGAACTGTGTTACCGTGGAATTCACCTGTTTTTTTTTTTGATAAGACAAAAATGAATTTTTTTTTTCATTAGTGGACAAGAACATATTTGCCTTAAAATTTAAATTCGAGCATATTTCAAACATCAACTCACGCGAAACGACTGCACTTGGAGCAAATGGAGCGGCAACAACTGGAGCACTGTAAGCGACCACATCTGGCTTTGGTTTAGCGCATACGTAGGCGATAACCATGAATACAAAAGCGATCTATTTGTTCAAAACAATGTTGATAGGTAAAAATATTCAGAAAAAAAATTCACATTCTATTTTTACGCAATGAGGTAAGCAGTTCTTATCTTATTTCTTCAAACACATAAAACTATAAAAATTCTTCTGCACTCAAAGAAAAATTCCATTTTCAAACAGTTCACTTACGATTTTGAACATTTTGATGTTTGTTATTTAGCTTATTCGATCGATAAACAAAAACTGATACCTTCTTCAAATGGACTTCGGCTTTTATACGATTTTGTTTACCATTGAAAGTGATGGGAGTTAGTCCATTAACGATTCACAAGATTGAAAGTGAGTACGTGCCGTGAAAATGTAAATTATGAATAGCAATTGATTCATTGAGACAGCAGCTGATGTCGTAGTAGTTTGAAGTAAACACGTTGGTGCGTGAAACGCATAATATTTACAATAATTTTTATGTTGATATTGCTATTTATATGAATCATTTGAACACTTTATGTAATTCAAACACAATCTAAAATTGGATCTGGGGTCAATAATCAAATAAAATTTATCAATGTTTATCAAAACTGAAATCATTCAATTCGAATATTTGTTTTAATTGATAAAATATTCATTTCTCGTTTTCAATTTAGAAGAAAAAAAAAACACAGGAAAAAATGTCTCATTTCATGGCCCAAATGAATTTGCTATTTATTCCTTTCTGAATCAATTTCACGGAATTCTATTTATCGCTTATTTTGCCTTCGCCAAAAGCATTTCCCATTTTACAATAACAAAAAAATAACCAAAAAAATATGCATAAAAAGTCAAATTTTGACAGAAAGATTACCAAATATCAAAGTGAATCATCCTGAAAAAAATCTAATGATTGAACGAATTTCTTGATAGTAGACAGATTCATTTGTATTTGGAAGAAATTGAAATTCTTGGATGAAAAATAATAGAACAAGGATGTGATCATAGCCTCGCTAGCGCAGTAGGTAGCGCGTCAGTCTCATAATCAAATGTAGGAGTAATCTGAAGGTCGTCAGTTCGATCCTGACGCGGGGCAATAATTTTTTTTTATTCATTTATTCTTCTCTTTTTTTCTTCGTACTTCTACTCTAAGTCCATGTATTGTCTATATATTTGGAAGAAAAATTTTTTTCTTTCATTGCAATTTTAAAAGGCACTGCCATTTACTTGTAGAACGAAGATAAAACGAGAATAATGAATTAAAAAAAATTATTGCCCCGCGTCAGGATCGAACTGACGACCTTCAGATTACTCCTACATTTGATTATGAGACTGACGCGCTACCTACTGCGCTAGCGAGGCTATGATGATCCTTATTCTAGTCTTTTCCATTCTATACCGGAGCGATTCTTCCAATCGATAGACACTTATGATTGCTGGCAGTAATGCCATTTTGTATAGAATGATTTGATGAGTTGTGATGATGAGTTTTTCAATCACACGCATTGATGTTGAAAAAAGAAAAAAAAATCATGTTTCACTTTAAAGCCGCTCGATATTTATTTTTTCTATAAAAAAAATACAATTTTGTTATCGAACGAATGAAGTGTATTTTTTATTTGTCGGTGAAATGTTTTTTTTCTTCCTAAAATCCAATTATAATAGAGCCACTAGGCTATATTTAGCAAAAGACGACTTATGTGTGTCACTCTTCATAGCAAATCCAAGTATTCACGTCTACTTCCTTCAAAAAGCATGGGTACGACTTTAATGTTGTTGCTCTCTCAGTTGCTCTTTTTTCATTTTGTTCTTCTATCGCGTTCAGAACCAGCTTGATGAGATTTTCATTGCCTGCACAAACCGCAAAATTGAATGGAGCATAAACACAATGAAAAAAAAGTTCATAAAATACCTGACTGTTCTGCTATTTCGAGTAACGTTTTTCCTGCGTTATCTTCAATATTTACTTGCGCACCATATCGAATTAACTCTTCCACCGTCTTTTCTTTTCCTTTTGTAAGAAGGTATATGAATTTTTGAATATTTCAATGGATATGTTGAGAAAAAAAAATACCAAATCGAGCTGCTACAAAAATTGGCGTCCATCCGATGTGATTTGCCAAATTAACGTTTGCGCCGCGGCTGATTAATAATGGAACCATTCTTTCCTTTCCTACAAAAAAAAATCTTTTGAAAACAATTTTTTGGTGCAAATTACTGCATTACCATTGAAAGCAGCTTGATAAAGAGGCGTTTTTAAACCACAACCGAAGTGGTTCTGACGATTCACATCTGCACCATGTCTGATTAAGAATTTGGCAATATCCTCATGGCCTATATAGATTGATTTCGTTCAGTTTAAAGAGAATCTTAGCCACATTTTTCCAGTTTACCATAAAAAGCGGCTTCGTGCAAGGGTGTATCTCCAGAGTGATTTTCGACGTTCACATCCTCTCCGTTTAAGAAATGTTCGGTCACATTCTCCAAACTACCTAATAATCATTTAAATCCATTCAAATGGCTCTTATTTGATTGATGTGACAATTGAAGCAATTTATTTCTTAACCTTCACTGGCAGCCAAGTGAAGTCCTGTGTTCCCGTGATCGTCAATCGGCTTACCAACCAAGCTTGAAAAATTTAATATCGAAACATTTGACAAAATTATATCGCTCATTTACATTATTCAGTAAACAATGTTTACATCACTGTAATATCAACGCATGCAGTCTTTGCACACATGCAAGGAAAATGAATTGTTTTCAAGTTGGGTAAGGTAAGTATTTCGTAATAAATGATTTATTGCTGCACGTGCTCTTATAAATGCATAAAATTGCAACGATAGTTTTAAGCTTGATAATAGCACCTTGTCAATTTTACGTTGGATATTAAATACGCTACATCGTATGAAGTATTTTCTTCGGAATCATTGCGTTAATACTTACAAATATCTCAATTCAAATGCTGAAAAGTAGTAAACAATCTATTATTCAAATACTGAAAGGGAGATGGCAATAGTTAATGAATTTGAAATTAAATACCATTCAAAAATGGAATGAATGTTGTCAAAAAAATTAAGAACTTCATTGTAATGCTAGTTCTACTTTTAAAAAAAAACTGAGCTATATATTCGCAGATAGTTGAAAGTTGACTGAATTACATTTTAAAAACAATAATATGCAAACTCAAGAAAACAACCTACTCATATAAATTGATAAGCGACAAAATTCAACTTCCATAAACTCGCAACGTCAAAAACATAAAAGATAGCGAATATTCTGGGTCAAATTTCGGCTGCGTGAATTACACAATGGAACTTTTTCGAATGATTATGCTCAATGAAGCAGCGGACTTGTCGGCACACTCGTGGATTTAGCATTTCACTTGCTTTGGCGATTCGTGAGTTGCCGAAGCATCATATATGCAGTGCACTCGATATTTAACGTGAAATCCTATATTCGGTACATCGAAGTCGGCCGAGGTATGATTTCGTTTGGGCGTCGCGTAAGCAATTCACTTGCGATATAATGTGAATCCCTATATACTATATATCGCAAGTGAATTGCTTACGCACTACGCGCAAACGAAATCATACCTCGGCCAACTTCGATGTACCGAATATAGGTTTTCACGTTAAATATCAAGTGCACTGCATATATGATGCTTCGGCAACTCACGAATCGCCAAAGCAAGTGAAATGCTAAATCCACGAGTGTGCCGACAAGTCCACTGCTTCATTGAGTGCTTGAAAAGAATATTTACGGAAACTGATTACAGTCGTAGCAAATTTTAAAGCAGTCAACCTCACCAGCCACGAAGGCAATTGCTGAAAAAAATGTGAATGCTTTCCGACAAAAATACTATAAATTGTGTTTTCATTTCCATTAGAGTTTTATTTTCTTCTGTAAATCATTTCCAAAAACGGAAAAAAATTATTGCCAATTGAAAATAAAGAATTAATCCCTTGAGGTAGGTGTTAAAATATTGCAGGGCAAATGTCATTTCTCTCGGAAATCATAATTAACAATCAGGTTATTTGATTTACAAAAGAACTGTCGATGCATATGCCGAGTATGGAGCGGCAGCAACGTATGGTGCTGCATAGGCTGTTGCGTATGGGTAAGAATAAGCGGCAACGTATGGAGCTGTGTTACCATGGAATTCACCTGTTTTAAAGAAATAAAATCCAGATAATTAACAAATGCTCAACATTTTGAAATGTAAAAAATGTAACTCACGCGAAACGACTGCACTTGAGGCAAATGGAGCAGCAACAACTGGAGCACTGTAAGCGATCACATCTGGCTTTGGTTTAGCGCACACGCAGGCAACAACCATGAATACGAAGGCGATCTATTGAATGAAAAATTGCCAAATATTTTAAGAATTTTTTAAATGGCGGATACTTCTTAGATCACTTCCAAGCACTATGAAAAAATTCACAATTTCAATCCATTTCAGCAGTGGTATGAAAATTACTTACGATTTTGAACATTTTGATAATGTTTGATGTTTAGCTTATTTGACTGATAAACAAAAACTGATACATTCTGCAGGTTGATTTTCGCTTTTATACTATTTTATTTACTATTGATTCAGTGCCCAATATCGGGAGCCCATTAATAATTCTCATCACTCAAAACTCAAATACGTGCCACGAACAACAAAATACGTTTCAAGGTGAATTTCAGAGGTGTTTGTAGTAATTTCTAACTAACAAATGGCCAATTACGTGAAACGCATAAAAATGAGGTCGTATTCATCTTTTTGTGTTAACATCGGTAATTTCGGAATCAATATCAAGACTGATTCAATATCATTCCAATTTCTATAATTGATTTCCATTGATTGGTAAAATTTTACTGAGCTGAAATCAGAAAATTTATTTAAAGGAGGGCAAAAATTTAATACCCAACGTAAGTTTCGATCTCACGACCTTCAGATTTCTCACACTTGTGAGACTGACACGCTATCGACTGCGCCAGACTGACACTATGATTACTTTGGATGGAGCTCCATGCACCGGCCACTGCAGCTCAAATGAAATTATAAGAACACTTTTGATTACGATGCCATCGAAATTTGATGCGAAAATTGCGAAAATTCGGTTAAGCACAGCATGTTATCAATTCGACTCCTATCACCAACAAGCAAAAATTATATAAAGTTGTTTCTTCGAGTTAGAATTCACTTTGATAACCATATTCAAACAACCAATTCTATGCCAAACATATTTTCTGCCATACTCTAACTCTGTTGATTAGAAAATCAGAAACATTTGATAGAAGAACAAATAGAAGAAAAAAAGTACTGTAATATGAATTTAAAATAACATTTATATTCAATTCATCTGTTTTTCAAATGGCTATTGTTCGTCACAGTTGATCGTCACGCACAACATGCACTGCTGTTGTATATTTGCGTATGGTGACACTTTCTTTATTATGAAAGTGTTTTTTTAAGTGTGTTCTCATTTGACACACATAAACAAACAGAGACCAGCAAATGTCAGCAATGATTCGTTTAATGAACTTCAAAAGAGAATCAACAGTACAGTTTTTATTTAAATACAAAATACAGAACAATGTGTAATAATAGATCGTAGATCAAGATATAAATTCATATGCGTGCTTCTTCATTTTTATGGCAAGCGATTCATGAAGATAAGAAATAAACTTGATTCCTTTTTACACTTTTTTCGTTTTTTTTTTTTCATTTCATTTTTAAGTTTTGATTTTTCTTTTGAATTGAAAAAGCCTTAAAAATAAATTGTAATGTTTTTAATTAGAGTATTTCTTCAGTCTTTAGCACTTTCTTTTCGTTTCGACTATTCATCATCGTCGTCGTTTTGCTCTTTTTCAGCCTTGAGAAGCATCATGAGTATTTTGTTTTTGTCTGCATAAAGAAAAAAAATATAATTTTCTTTTACTAAATCAAATCTGTGAAGTCAGTTTTCTTTCATTACCATAAGCTAAGTCAATGGGTGTTTTTCCTTTGAAATTTTTAATTTTCAAATCCGCACCGTTTTCCAGAAGCACTTTTACAACTTTTGTGTGGCCTATATGATAAATATTCTTGACATTTATTACTTATTGAACTTCTATTATGACATACACTGACCTTTCCGCACAGCGTTGTGTAGTGGAGTATTCCCGTGATAATTTGTCACATCGATATCATCATAGTCATCGATTTGTTCTATAACTTCTTCAACTTTACCTTTCAATGCAGCATCATGAAGTCGTGTACTTCCATGCCGGTCTTCAGCACCACCTTCAAAACCAACCAACTGCACTAAATAGATGAGAGCACCTAAAAGTCCCCACCCCAGAGTTTGCTGCATTCTTTCCGGCAAAACTTTGTGAGATTATGGAATATTTTTTAGATTTAAATTGAAAATGACGACTTTTATCTCAAAATTCTATTACTCACATCCAACAAGACTATTCATTATCTTCAATGTCCTGCTTTGAATTCTAAGAAAAACAAACAAATCTCGAATTTTGTTTTAAAATTAAAAACGAAGGTATTCTTAAACTAATATGAATGAGTTCGGCAAAGGTATGGAAATCAACCGACACCCATATTATTTGACACTTCTCAACAGATACTCTTGTTTCTGAAGATGCTCACCTATTTTCCTCCATTGGATATGGAGCTGCAGAGGAAAAATCAAGTCAAAAATAAGAATAAAACAAAAATGGTATCCAAATAAAATTTACCCGCTGAAACTGTAACTAAAAAAGCGACAAAAAATGCAAACAGTACGATGAACAACTTCATTTCAAATTTTATTCGATTGAATTTCTTGAAAATTGAAACTATTTACGTAGAGTTTTAAAGGAAAATGAAGTCCAAATGTGTGAGCGATTCGCTTTTATACTCGGCGGAGAGATGGTGAAAGTCCAAACCTGCAACTCTTTGTTTGATAGTAATCTGATGCCCGATCAGCTGCTTTGAAGTAAACATTAAAAATTCAATGCCAAATAATTTCTGAGGCAGTTAACTATTCGGCTCATCTTACAAAAAAGTTTTTTTGAAAGTTGGCGATTAATGTAATTAAATGAAGAAATTGAATAACAACTGGACAACTGCCTGAACACCATAATTTAAGTTTAAACTCTTAAAACAATTGTTTTTTTTCCTCATCCTAGACACGTACCAACGTATTGTGTTTTGAATTATTGATTCTCACTGGCACACAATTGATTGATCACAACTGATTTCGTGAAAAATAAAATAGTATAAAAGCCAAGATCAACCCGAGGATTGTATCAGTTTTTGTTTATCGGTCAAATAAGTTAAACATCAATCGCTATCAAAATGTTCAAAATCGTAAGTGATTTTTCCACTGCAGTTGGAATGGATTGGAATAGTGAACTTTTTTCTGTTTGAAAAACAATTGAAAAAACATTCGAAAAATCCTTAAAATATTCGACAACTTTCCATTCGATAGATCGCCTTCGTACTCATGGTTATTGCCTGCGTGTGCGCTAAACCAACACCAGATGTGATCGCTTACGATGCCCCAGTTGTTGTCGATGAAAGTGAGATCGTTTCTCGTGAGTTTTATTTTGATATTTTCGAATTTCAAGAGTGCATTATGAATTTATTAAAAAAAATTTCTCCTGTCTTCTGAAAAACAGATGAATTCCACGTTGACACTCCATACGTAGCCACTTACTCTTATCCACACAACACAGTCTACTCAGCACCATACGTTGCTATTGCCCCATATTCGGCATACACATCAACAGTGCTTCTTTAAATTAAGTGATGTGATTTGATTTCGTTCTTGAATGCTTTCAAAAAAGTTGAATTCGATTGTTGAATCTTAATAAAATGCAAAGTGTGCTGTTCGAATGTATTATTATATATTTGTTTTTACTGGTTAACCATCGATATGTTTTTTAATTATTGAAAAATTTCTACGTTTCTAATGAAGAATATATCCGTTGAAGTGAAAGCCGAAATTCTAATGTCAGTGAGTGATATTTGCCGGATGTCATCCAAAACAGTTGATGTTTTTAAGTCGATGGAGTAGGACCTGAAGATGAGAAACGGTTTTAACGAGAAACAATTGAAATTATTTGGAATTGTCGCGAATTAGATGAGAGTAAAATTCTGAAATCGAATGAAAATAACAATTCACCTGTTGAAGATGTGATTGGTGGTGGGTTGGTTGCCATGGTTGGCATGGTTGGCATTGTGCTCACTACAATCGGGATTACCTGGAAATAGGGAAAACAACATTTTTAGGCAAACTTGCATACATAGACCAATCTCCTCAATGGGCTGAAAATTTATCTACTTACGAAGCAAGTTTTGCAACGTGTTTGTCGTCTTCGACTGCGTCTCTTCTTACTTCCCTTCCGCTTCTTGTTGCTCTTTCTTCTTTTCTTGCTCTTGTTCTTACTCCTACTCTTTCTCTTGCTCTTGCTCTTGCTCTT